TCATTTTGATCACTGATGGACATTGTTTCTGTAAACATACCACACATATTGCATATCCTTCTTTCTGAACTGTACGACTGCGCAGGCCTATTTACATGGGACGGCGATAACACTACATGCTACACAATAGACCTGTCTCCCGGGGCTCTATCAATGATGATATCAATAGGGAAAATCTGTGGTATTCCAATACACAAAGGGACAGGGGAGTAATCCAAAATTACCTTAACAATAACATGACATTTAGCGACCCCCAACTTTCAAACACAATTACTTTGATAATCTTGCCTGATTTTCCTCAGCCGTTCAAAAATGCAGTAGTTTTCTTTTTACCTTGTTATACCCAAAATAACATTAAAGAGCATATCCGAACTGAAAAATGAAATGAATGAATTACATATCATCGGAAAAGCTTATAAGCCTTTGATTTCAATAATGTAAATTTGTTATACTATGTTAGTGTCTGTCAGTGGAGTATCACCTCTCTAAAAAAACTCAAAATCTAAAGCGTTGAAAATCGGAAATTGTCGACCTAAAAAATTGCTATCGTCTTAATAATGGCATCATCTTACGTGGATTACGCATAAACACAATGAATTTGCATTAATTAAGCACGGCTAATCGCCTCAGCTATAAAGATGAACCGGTCGGGTCCACATGTTATGTCGTTACTGTAACTTCAGCAAATTTGACCCCTGTTGACCCCAGGCGCGGATCCAGGGGGGGGGCCGAGCGGGCCTTGGCCCCCCCCCCCCCCCCCCCCCCCCCGGCAAAAAAAAAAAAAAAAAAAAAAAAAAAGAGAGAAGAAAGGAAAAGAAGGGAAAGGGAAAGAGGAGAGAAAGGGAAAGAAAGAAGAGGAAGAAGTAAAGAAAAGGGAGAAGAAGGAGATCGGGGGGGGGCGAAAGGGCCTTGCCTCCCAGGCTGTTGCCCCCCCCCCCCCCCCCCCCAATCAAAAAAATAATAGAGAAGGAAGGAAAGGGAAAGAAAAAAGGAAAATAGGAGATACTGGCGTACTGATAGAGAGGGGGGGGGGGGGCTTGGGGAAAATCAAATTCAAACGTGTTTTATTTCTAATTCCATAATTGTGGATTACAAATAATGCTGAAATGACATAATTTCCGAGATTTTTCCTCACTTTTTAGTAAATTATACTTTTTTATGCGTTTGTTGGAAAATGACAAAATGACAAATGATAAATTTACAGCCAGGCAAGAAATATGATTCTTGAGATTCCTACATGTCAGGGCCCGAGGAACGGCGGGAATCGGGAGCCTCGAGCCCCCCCCCCCCCCCCCACACACACTTTAACAAAAAAAGTATATTAAAGAGAAATTAAAAAAAAGAAAGAGAGCAAGAAAGAAAGAATAGTTAACTGCCAGTGTTAACAAATAAAGAGGCATCAAAATATGATCATCTGACCGTGATTAAATGCCTAAAACCCCTAAGCTTCCGGGGGATCTACCCCCTGGATTCCACCTAGGGCCCTAAGGTGGGCCCTTCGATGCTCATCTGACGGTTATTTAATGCCTAAAACCCCTGATTGTGGGGGGCTCCGCCCCCTGGATCCCACGCCAAATAGTGTCCTGCCAGTGACACAAAATAATAAGGATTATAACAAAATGCTCATCTGACCGTAAATAAACGCCTAAAACCCCTGAGCTTCCGGGGCTCTGCCCCCAGGATTCCACCTTGGGCCCTAAGACGGGCCCTTCGATGCTCAGTTGACGGTAATTTAATGCCTAAAACCCCTGATTTTGGGGGGCTTTGTCCCCTTGACCCCACGCCTAAGTGTCCTGCCAGTGTGACAAAATAATAAGGATTATAAAAAATGCTCATCTGACCGTAATTAAACGCCTAAAAACCCCGAGCTTCCGGGGGCTCCACCGCCTCGACCCCACCAGGGGCCCTAAGGCGGGCCCCTGAATGCCTGTCTGACCGTTATTTATTGCCTTAAACGTCTGAGCTTCCAGGGTCGGACGAGGTATCAAAATGTGTTAATCTGACCGCAGGCGCGTAGGCAGGGGGGCGGTGGGGGCGGTGGGGGCGGTACCCAAACAATAACCGCCCCCCCTAAAACAGAAGAGGAGAGAAAAGAAAGAGGACGTAGAAAGAAAAAGGAGCAGACAAAGAACATCTTTAAAATTCAGACAAAGATTAGTGTAGAGAACGGTACAACGCATCGTCTTCTTTCTCTAATAATTTAATGAAACGTAAAAGCCCCCGCGCTTCGCGCGGGAGGGGGGGAAACTGAACTCGGACGAGGATTAAGCATCGAGAACGGTACAACGAATCGTCTTGTTTCTCTAAAGATTTAAAGAAATGTAAAAGCTTCCGCGCTTCGCGCAGGAGGGGGGGGGGGTGGGACTGAATTTAGACAAGAATTAAGAGTCGAGAACGGTACAACGAATTGTCTTCTTTCTCTAATGATTTAATGAATCGTAAAAGCTTCCGCGCTTCGCGCGGGAGGGGGAAAACTGAATTCAGACGAGGATTAAGAGTCGAGAAATGTACAACGAATCGTCTTGTTTCTCTAATGATTTAATGAATCGTAAAACCTTCCGCGCTTCGCGCAGAAGGGGCCGGGGGGAGGGCGGTGAAAATGAATTCAGATGAGGATTATTTTCGAGAACGGTACAACGAAAAGTCTTCTTTCTCTAGTGATTTAATGAATCGTAAAAGCTTCCGCGCTTCGCGCGGGAGGGGGACAACTGAATTCAGACGAGGATTAAGAGTCGAGAAATGTACAACGAATCGTCTTGTTTCTCTAATGATTTAATGAATCGTAAAACCTTCCGCGCTTCGCGCGGGAGGGGGAAAACTGAAATCAGACGAGGATTAAGAGTCGAGAAATGTACAACGAATCGTCTTGTTCCTCTAATGATTTAATGAATCGTAAAAGCTTCCGCGCTTCGCGCGGGAGAGGGGAACCTGTATTCAGACGAGGATTAAGAGTCGAGAACTGTACAACGAATCGTCTTGTTTCTCTAATTATTTAATGAAACGTAAAAGTTTCCGCGCTTCGCGCGGGAGGGGTGAACCTGAATTCAGAAGAGGATTATTTACGAGAACGGTACTATGAATCGTCTTCTTTCTCTAATAATTTAATGAAACGTCAAAGCTATCGCGTTTCGAGGAGGAGGGAGGGGGAAACTCGCCCCTCCCTGCTCCCACCCCCCCCCCCGCATTACGTCACTGCTGGTCACCATTACGTTCCAATTTTTGGCTCGCATAATTTCAAATTTGGCCCCCCCCCCTAAGAAATCCTGGATCCGCGCCTGGTTGACCCGTAATTTGGAGGGGTGAGAAAAATTAGGATTTAATTTGCTTTTGTGCAATAATTAATGGGTAAATACTTTGTATTCCTTTATATTTATTAATCGTCTCTTCCGTGTCACTACATCTAAGGCCAATAAAATTGATCCTTAGTTTCAAGTCTAGAATTTTCGTTTAGGGAGTTCAATATTACTTACTATCTTATAGTTTACTGGTCATAACAATGTTATAAGGTCAATTTAAAAGATATCTTCTAAATCGAATTGGCCTGAAATATTAAAGTGGCCGAATGAAGGAGGGAAAAGGATCACGAAACTAGGAATTAACATTACTTGGCCTTCAGTACTTATTTTTGTTTGTGTGTTTACTTACTTCCAATTCCTTTCATTTATCCATGTTGACTGTAGGCCTATGCTTTAAAAAAATCTAACATTTTAAGTACGTGTATTCACAGCCAAAATAAGTGCTAGCTTACATCCAAGTTACTTTTTTTTTTACATGACTTGTCTTTATTTGAGAAAGGAAGGGTTCGAACATTAGTATATAAAACAAGAATCCACATGACCTAAACAAATAGGAAACAAACAACAACATGCTATATAAAAGCCTACAATATGCATTGACTATTGGCGACATTTTTGTACAAAATTGCATGAAATTTTAAAAGAAATTGTATATCATCCGAGGGTGAGAGAAAGTCCACCCTAATATTAAGTTGGTTTAAATATAGTACAATCAGAGCAAATGAAAGAAATGAATAAGTGAAAGTTTGAGAAATATCTGATTAAAAATAGAAAATGTATGATATGTTGAAGTTTTCACACGAATTGGCGACAATGTGACGTTTTCTTGCGAGCTCCTCTCCAACTGGCTCTGTACAGAAAATTTCATGAACTTCATTTTTTTTGTTACTGATGCTGGAATAGATTCCTTGTATACGGGGGTACTTGCAACAATTATATGTAGGGTGAATGTTTGACTGAAAATTTACATTTTTGAAGTGTTTAAGTTCAAGGCAAATTTGACGGGGCCTGGCAATAAACGTCACAGAGTTGCCAATTTGTGTTTGAGCGATAAATACACATTTTTTAATCGGCTTGTGCTCAAACTTTCACTGACCCTGTTTATCTCATTTTATTCTGAAACCATCTCAACACCAGCGGGCATTTCCCTTTAGGTTAGTATACATATAAAGTACCTGCAGCATTGACCTCTTTTTAAAGGAAACCTAACCCCAAAGAACAAATGTAGGTATTCTGACATATGAAATAAATTCCTGCCCTTTGATGTATAATATTCCTTACGAAAATGTACAAGAGATATATAAATGAAGATATTCCTGGCATGATGTGATGCCTTTCAGCATGACATGGGCGCAGCCATTTTCTTAAAAACGTGACGTACCAGTTGAAGTTGTACATGTATCATGGACCAAGCTTCAGTTGGAAAGAATTGTTAAATCAAGAACGAAACCTTTACTTGCCAGTGAGGAAAAATCATAACTGAGAAGATAGAAATTATATTTGCTGAAAAATAAATAACAGGGGAACAATTGTAACTAAATTCATTTTTAAATACTACATTATGGTTGACAAATCTATTTCATATATGAGGAAAATTTACACTAGAAGAGCACCGACTTATTTATGCAATTTGCGTTCTGGTAATTATAGTACAAAGGATGCTAGCAGGTGAATGAAATGCTTCATCACCACACACGTCTGGGAAGGAAGCCTCCATAAATTTGAATACATTTACTTGCTAAACGACTTCGCATAGTACGTCACGTAATCAAGAAAATGGCGATACCCATGTCGTGCTGAGAAAATGCACATTATTCTTGCTCTATACCTCTCTCATACACTTTGGCGGGGAATCTTGTAGATTAATGGGCAATAATATAATAAATCTCTTAGAATAAGTTAAGTTATTTCTTGGGGTTCGGTTTCCTTTAAATTCTCGTATCCGGGTACGATTAGAATTTTTCTTATTCAGACAAATTCATTTGATTTAGAAGTGAAACGAATTACGCTACACGTATGCAAAGCAAGTCAAACAATTTTGATGTAACCGCTCTTGTTGCTAAATATACATTTTTAATTAGAATACTATGAAACTTAACATTCCCATAACATAAAAAAGGAAAACAATACAAGTACACTTTTATATTAATAAATCCCATGGATACCATCGCAACTGCATTCGAAAATCAACCTTACGCAATTTCATTAGACTTCTGCATCTCGTATTAAATATTCAAACATGACAATGACGTATGGATTAATGCCAAAATGATTTCTATTTAATGAACGATAGGGTTTTCAAGATGATTTGGTTTCCTTGCCTCCAGTTGAATTTACTAAGTTTTTCCTGCTCACTCTTTGTTTATTAAATCGTCTTTTTATTATCATGAAACAAATTTCTGTACGCAAATTATAATTGACATCACTTTAGAATTTATCATCATCTTCACTATGTCGTGATCACTGTGACGGAACAGAAATTAGGTTAACCTTTAACCTTTAATATATCCTTAGACTGCATCATTTTTGACATTCTGTAACGATATATACGACCTCTTTCCATCGGAGCCAGTTATCATCAGCTTTTGAGCACATAATCCAGAAATATTAAATTTGTTATGTACCATTAAAACTGCATATCGATTGTAATCCCAAACAAGGATAACTAAAGGTGGGTATAAGAGGAAAAATAATCACTCCTACTCCTGCCTACTAATGAATTTAGATTCAATTTAATGTTTTCCGGTTGTCAGTCCGTTCGTCCGTCCATCTGTACGTACGTCCGTCCTTCCCGCTTTTTCTTTATCGCGATATCTCAAGAACCACTTGAGTTATGAACGTCAAAATCTAAAATAGTATGGACCACCCTGGGAAGACAATTTCATAAGATTTAATAGGCTAATGCGTCACGATCAATGTCGTCGTTTGACATTTGATCATAGGATTTTTGTTTTTATCGTGATTATGTCTATCCATTTCCTATATTGAATTTAGGGCAGAGGCATTTAGGAAACTCAGTTGCACGTATCTTGTTTTTTAATTTCTTTCAAAGCTAAGTAATTAATATTAAGGCTGCTCTTTTAAATAATTGTCTCTTCAATTCAACATTTAGTACAACGATGTGAGTGCTGTTTAAAGATTGATGGGTATCGAAGAAACTTCGAAACATATCATGATCTGAATCTTCACTCGAAAGGGAAACGAACAACGATAATTAAGTCTTTTGATATGACCCAGCTCGAAATCGTGGTAATGTCCGGTATTAAATTAAAATCGACATTTCCACATGAAACATAATAAAACAAATATTAAGGCTTCATCCTTGTAAAGTGCCCCAGTTTTTTTTTTTGAAACCCAGGCTCAACCTTCCAACAAGGAATGATTCGGTGTGGAAGATAACAGCCTTGCCATATTGGATGGTACTGTGTGTTTTAGGAGGGGGCCTTTCAAATTTAAGCAAACTAGAACTTATTTCACTCTTCACTTGCTGTACCGATTTTTAGAATTAGTATCGATTGGGGATACTAAGAGGTTCCTTCAAAGGACTCAAGTTTATCCAACTCTTGTTTTCGTTTTGCTTGCTGTTTAGCCACTTCATCATATTCTTGCCGCTTCAAATTTGTTACGACGCTCGATCTTTTCCTTTCTTCTTTATTTTTATGGTCAAGCCTTTTTAATGCGTCCTGCAAATTTTTCTGCAAAACTTTCACTTTTGTATCTTCCTCTTTCACGTCTTTTTTTGCCTTTTCCCATTTTTGTTCTGCTTCTTGAAGTTTAGACAAGCCCTTAGGTTTCTTCGCAGTGGGAGACTTATTTGGAGTTTTATCATCTACTTCTCTCTTCCTCTGCTTGGGTGTCAATTCCGTATTCGATTCAGCCTTCCTACCAGGAGTACCTGCATGTATGAAAAACAAATAAAAGCTATTGCTCATATCATTTACTCAACTTGTAAATAATTGTTTAAACAATTTTTGTTACAATTTTACAATCAGACAGCAATACACTTTGGAATCTGTACCAAACAAATAAAATGGTTTATTGCATTCGTTTAACCTTTAGAATAATAATGGTTGCCGGATTCCCTTGTTTTCAATTGACCTGTTCCTTAAACCATGGACCTACTACGAAGTAGGTCCATGCTTAAACTATTGTAACATTTGAATGTGTTTCTACGAGAAATACATACAAAAATATGTAAAATCACTTTTGCCAGTTGGATAAATCGTTAGAAATTTCCCGTCTTCATTAAATCTTTCCTCGTGTATTGCAATTGAAGGTCATTTCCATGAGCGATGCAATTAATGACATTAATGTTCAAAGAAAGATGAAGGCAACATATTGTGCTACCATTCTTCCCTCCCGTAATTATTGCTAGTGTTGTTTGCAACTTCTTAATTCTTTTCTTCTCGTTACTTAAATACCCACTTGCGATAGAAACGTAGGTAGTCCGTTTATTCATGTTTTATAAAAACCATCAGAGTTTTGTAGCCTAGTATTCGATTGAAAATATGTTTCGTTAGTTATAATCGGCAAACCTCTCCAGGTTGTGTATCATTATACATTATACATGGGCAAGTCCGGCATACTCACGAAATTTAGTATGAACTAAGGACGTTCTGAAATGCAGGCTGGTTATGTATTCACTGTGCAAAATGCCTGAAATTAGTAGAAAAATTAATGCATGATCAGCTAGCCCCGCGCAGCTATCATGGCCGATGTGATAGTGTTATTGCGGAACGTCTTTAACTGAATTAAGGTTTCACATGTATCTTATTAACACACACATATCGTTTCATTTGAAATTTTGTTTGATTCCTCTTGACCAGGCCGATCAGATTAATACAGTCATCACATATACTGAAAACTCATGAAATTAGCAACGTATGGGACAATCTAGATTGGGCCTGCCAACATTATATTCTGTACCACACTCACTCACGCGAGGGTAGATGTTTATCAGCTGTGGCCCTTTGACCACTCTTAATGAGTCCATCTCTAAGTTTGTCCTTCTGATCTTTGATAGCAGTAGCACCCATTGCTTTTTGTAGAATCGTGTTGCAGTCCAAATTGGCATTTTTTGCATCAGCTGCCGACACACCAAGTTTAATGGCAAGCTTCATGACATGATCCCCATTTCCGATGTCCGTTGCAATGTCTATCAGTTTTTGGTCCGAAATTCGTTTTTTCCCCATTCTGGTATCTGTTAGATTGTAAAATAAAAGGAATACAACTGTGTTTTACAGATTATTTATTTCTGATATTTAGACAGGGTGACTCAATATCACCAATAATGGCGGTCTTCCATGAGGCCCTGTTAAACATAATGAGGTACAGTATAGTTTAACAAATATATATATATATATATGATAATAATCTTAATAACAAAATCGTGAACATAAATTCATAACAGCGATAAACATTAAGTAAGAACATGTAGAAAACATATATACAAAGTATTTGTTTTCCTCGGAATAACAGAATGTTTTTTCGTTTTGTTTTGCTTTGCTTTTCATTTAATAAAACGTTGTTGCATAAGTTGGTGAGAGAGGCTGTACCCCGTACTCATCTGCGCGCAATGTATTGTTCAATTTCTAAGAAATGTAATTTCTGTTCTTTACTCGGTAGCAAAACTACAGGGGAATTGGGCAACCTCAACCCCCCCCCCCCCCCTCATATCGAAATTGCATAATTTGAAAAGACTGAAAATGAAGGTTCATGCAATTTTCTGTAAATAGCAATTTTGGAGAGAAGCTTGCGTTATACGTCACAGTGTTATAAATTCCTCGGGGTGATTGTCATTGGAGGTAGTTGTCCTCCTGGGGTTATTGTCCTCGGGGGGGGGGGGGTAATTGTTCTTAGGGGTGATAGTTGTCCTCGAGGGTAAAACTAATAACATTTTATTTACTCAGGGTAGCCACTTCAGTTATGAAACTGGTCTTCCAGCGGGCCCTGCATAACATAATATGTCATTACTACCCTTCTCCAATCTAATATGCTAAGCGCCTAGCTAGAAGGCAGAAGGTCCCATTGTTATAAGTCTTTGGTATGAATCGGCGGGGTTCGAACCCACGACCTCCCGTTCATTAGACGGGCGCTCTAACCACTGAGCCACCATGCCCAGTAGTGTCCATGGGGGTAATCGTCCTCGGGGGTAGTTGTCCTCGGCGGTTGGAATTCTCCGGGGGGAATTTTCCGGGGGGGGGGTAATCGTCCTACGGGGGTAGATTTCCGGGGAGTAATTTTCCGGGGGTGGTTGCCCAGGGGGCAATTGTCCTTGGGAGGTAATTGTCCTCGGGGGGGATTCTCCGGGGGGAATTTTCCGGGGGGGGGGTATTCGTCCTACGGGGGTAGATTTCCGGGGGGTGGTTGCCAAGGGGGTAATTGTCCTGATTCGGTGCACAGTTCATTACCATATAGCGATCTCCCGATGGTTTCTAGTCTACTTCCTTTTCCCCTTGTCTTTCGCCTTCCTTAATTGGCCCTGAAGATCCTTCATCTTCTTCCATGCATGGCATTAATTGTGCGGTCTATCAATTCTGACAACGGTAGTCAGGAGCAAGTCTTTGTTAGTTGTTTTTCTTAGCTGGTAACGTCGCTTTTATTCTCTTGCAATTGCCGATAAACATAAAACTAGCGCACGTACGTTCCATCACAAGCAAGCCGCGCCTAGAGCAGCGGCCTGGTCTTACCTCCCGATTCCCGATTCTGCTCGCTTCACGAACGTTCATGCAAGAGCCGCATCTCTCGCGGATGAATATCGTTCGATCACTAATCTTAGACGTTGTCAAAATAATATAGAGGAAGCGCGCTTGCATGATCTCGTTCAAGTTTGATATTTTACAACATGAAATGTTTAACTGGTACTGTATTCTTTTTTTTAGGCAGTCACACACATCTATGATAAGTACTATCATAGTTCTAGGCCTATTCGTTTTTACAAAACTGCTCCTGTACCTTATCTGATGACAAGATAATGCATCCGCCTATTCATTAGTGCATGATTTAACCTTGTTTCCCAAGCAGTAAACCCGTTTTAAATCTCTACCAAACAGGTGAATATGAGGATTTAAAAATAATTCAGCGATTGGAAAATGTTGTTTCGTTATTCTTCATGCTAATGAAAAAAGAAAATCCATCAAATATACTCATTAACAACAACAAATCTAAGCTCTGACAGGATAGCATTTACGTAGGGATATCACTGCCATTCACTCTCACTGAGCCCACGAGTCCCGTTCGTGACGTCACGGATAGAGGCTCGACTCTACATGCACTTCCGGATTTCAGAGTTAGATAGTTTGGTAGAGTTTACTAGCATAAATTCACCATTCTAAACTTTTTTTTCAGTTAGACACCATTAAGTGTTATTCTGGGGGTTAAAAGCTTTCTATTGATGTAATTATCTTAATAATTGGGATTCTCTTAGAATATCAACTTTAATAAAAGATTGTGATCAACGGTTACAAATGCCTTACGAAGGTGGATAAAAGCGACACCAGAGATCTTTCTGTTTTCAATTTTCCATGATAAATTATTATTATCATCAATGAACTCAGAAAATTGGTGATGTAAAGCCCTCTCTATGATTTTGCTAACAACAGACAAAATATAAATTGGGCGGTAATTGCTTGGATTAGACATATCACCAGCTTTAAAAATAGGAATTTAATACTCAAGCTGCTTTCCAGCCCTTGGGTATACACAGCCCATGGTCAAAGATTTGTTTATGATATCGGTTAACGATAGAGCAAGTATTTTTTGGTATAAGAACCTTCACAGTATAGTTTAGGATCGGAAATAAATATGAGATCAATTATTGTACTCATGCTATTAGTTACTCGAGTTTGGACTATTTATCAGTTGACTAAAACCATATAGCTTTGTGCAGTAGTCTAGCTTATTAACATTAGCATTAGAGCAAGGTTGATTTGGAATATAATTGCAGTTAAATTCACCTAGAAAGATTCAAGTTTTGTTCACAGAGCTGGCCAACTCTAGGTTGGAATCGATTTTTCTTCAAAGAAATCAATTGTCGCATTAAGAGGCCTATACAAAAGCTCCAATCAGAATAGGTGGTTTATGTGGGTACTAGATCACTCAACCCACAGACATTCCAAATCTTCATGATTTAAATCATCTCGACTCTTATAGTCAAATCGTTTAGAAATAAATACTGCAACTCCTCCACCATTCCTATTTCTATCTTTTCAAAGTAATAAGAAATCATCCATACATACTTTGGAATCCATTACGGTACTGTCACACAGAGTCTCATTGAGTGTTATGACATCAAAAAGTGAATTCTTCAGTACTAGTTTGGTTCATCAATTTTTGATGTAAGGCTATGTAATTTTCAATAGGCAAATTTAATTCCTCTACTTTTTATTAGAGGAATTGAGCCATTCTCTAACAGTACTGACTTATTAATTAAATTCGGAATCAAATCATCATTTATAATGTCGGTGCTTAATACAGGTTTGGTTAATTGTTTTTGTATAATCATTAAAAGCTTCTTCATTTCTCTCGTGACAATACTTTGACAATCATTAATTTATTATAGATTATTAATTTATTATAGATGATGTGGTAAAAACACTTTGCCTCGATTGCATATCGAGAGGGTCTCGCTTGCTTTTAGATCTAGTCGCCTTTGTTTCATGCAATACCACCCGTTTCCGATATAAGTAGGCACTTCCACAGTATTACATTGTCTTATCCATAATTGTGTACGTTTCAACTGCTAAAAAATGTAAATGTGTTTTTATATTTTTTGTTTAACCGGCCTATTTGCGACTCTTCTTACATGGACTCTCGACATGAACACTTATCTTTTGATACCTAAACTTATGGTGGCCCTGAAGGGACATCGCGAATAGACTAAATCGTGAAAAATATGCGATAAAATTCACGATATCGTCAATTTTATCGCATATTTTTCACGAAGAAATTCACGAAATTGACGATATCGTGAACTTTATCGTGAACTTTTCACGATGAAATTGACGATATCGTGAATTTTATCGTGAAAAGTTCACGATATAAAGTTCACGATATCGTCAATTTTATCGTGTACTCTATCGTGTACTCTATCGTGTACTCTCCTGACGGGCGCTTCGTAAACAAAACCAGCCCTAGCTGGGGGAGACAGAGAGAAGGAAAAAAGGGAAAGGGAAAGAGAAGATAAAAGGAAAGAAAGAATAATAAGAAGAAAAGAGGGAAACGGGGGGGGGCGAAGGGCTCTTGCCTCCTCCTCACTCCCCCCCCCCCCTCCCCGCCAAAAAATAAATCAGAGAGAGAGAGAGAGAGAGAAGGGAAAGGGAAAGGGAAAGAGAAGATAAAAGGAAAGAAAGAAGAGGAAGAAGAAGAAAAGAGGAAAACGGGGGAAGGGCGAAGGACTCTTGCCCCCCCCTCCCCCCCCCGCCAAAAAATAAATCAGAGAGAGAGAGAGAAGGGAAAGGGAAAGGGAAAGAGAAGATAAAAGGAAAGAAAGAAGAGGAAGAAGAAGAAAAGAGGGAAACGGGGGCAAAGGGCTTTTGCCTCGTCCCCCCGCCCCCCGCCAAAAAATAAATAAGAGAGAGAGAGAGAGAAGGAAAGGGAAAGAGAAGAAAGAAAGAGAAAAACGAAAAAGAGGGAGAATAGGAAAGAAAGGAAAAAAAAGAAAAGAAAGAAGGCAAGAGCCCTTCGCCCCTGTTTCCCTCTTTTCTTATTCTTTTCCCTCTTCTTTCTTTCCTTTTATATTTTCTTTCCCTCTCCCTTCTCTTTCCCTTTATGGCGGGAGGGGGGAGGGGGTGGTAAGAGCCTTTCGCCCTTCCCCCGTTTCCCTCTTTCCGTCTTCTTCTTCTTTCTTTCCTTTTATATTTTCTTTCCCTTTCCCTTTCCCTTCTCTCTATCTCTCTCTCTCTCTCCTATTTATTTGTTGGCGCGGGAGGGGGGGGGGGGTAGGAGGCAAGAGCCCCTCTTTTCTTCTTATTCTTCTTCTTTCTTTCCTTTTATATTTTCTTTCCCTTTCCCTTCTCTCTCTTATTTATTTTTGGCGGGGGGGGGGGAGGAGGCAAGAGCCCTTCGCCCTTCCCCTGTTTCCTTCTTATTCCTCTTCTTTCTTTCCCTTTCCCTTCTCTCTCTCTCTCTCTCTTATTTATTTTTTTGGCGGGGGGGGGGGAGGTAAGAGCCTTTCGCCCTTCCCCCGTTTCCCTCTTTCCTTCTTCCTCTTCTTTCTTTCCTTTTATATTTTCTTTCCCTTTCCCTTTCCCTTCTCTCTCGCCTTATTTATTTTTTGGCGGGGGGGGGGGGAGTGAGGAGGAGGCAAGAGCCCTTCGCCCCCCCCCCGTTTCCCTCTTTTCTTCTTATTATTCTTTCTTTCCTTTTATCTTCTCTTTCCCTTTCCTTTTTTTCCTTCTCTCTGTATCCCCCAGCTAGGGCTGGTTTTGTTTACGAAGCGCCCGTCAGGAGAGTACACGATAGAGTACACGATAGAGTACACGATAAAATTGACGATATCGTGAACTTTATATCGTGAACTTTTCACGATAAAATTCACGATATCGTCAATTTCATCGTGAAAAGTTCACGATAAAGTTCACGATATCGTCAATTTCGTGAATTTCTTCGTGAAAAATATGCGATAAAATTGACGATATCGTGAATTTTATCGCATATTTTTCACGATTTAGTCTATTCGCGATGTCCCTTCAGGGCCACCATATGAACTTGCTATTGTTTGTAATTTCATGATATATAAGCACACAAAATAAAAATTCAAAAGATACAATAAAAACGCAATTCAAATTGAAATAACACAAAATATGACATAAATCAAAAATCAAACATATATACATTTCATAAAAATCCATTGATCAAATTAATTTTGTTTGTTAACAAAGAAAGATAAAGGGAGAGGTGTAGGAGAGGGATAGTTGGAGTGATGAGAAAGGGGGAGAAAGAGAGAAAGAGAAAAAAGAAAAATAGAGAGAAAAGGAGAGAGAAGGTGAAAGAAGGGGGACGAAAGAGAGAGAGAGAGACAAAGAGAGAAGGGGGAAGAAAGAGAGAGAGATGGAGAGAGAGAGATGAAGAGGAAAAGAGACAGACAAAGAGTACCTTATCATTACAGATGAGGGAATATGCTATCAAAAGTCATTCACATATTTCAATCATGGAGTGTGAAATTCTAAAAATACAATCTATTTTGGTATTACATTTTATTAAGAAGATTTATAAAGTAAGGAAGAGAGGTGCACTGGAAGCATTTTTATATACATTGGTATTGTTTAAACTTTGATTGAGATCTTAGGAATAAGTGCTTTGTTGTCTAAGAGGTAAACATTCTTTAAATTTTGAGTGTTTGGCAAGATAACTGCTCACGTCTTGCTTATAATGAACGTAGATCGCACGTTTCCAATGCTGCTTCATAACTTTCATACTGACTTCCTACAATTATTTTGCAAGCTCTTTTCTGAATACGTTCTAAAGTATATACATGAATTTTTGTTAAATTACCATTTAAAACCGGTACCCCATAATCAAAAGTCGAACGAATGTATCCTTTATATATTAGTAAAAGGTCATCTAGAGGCAATCCATACTTCTTGACACAAGCTTCTTGACACAATTACGCTTTTGTATTCATATTCTATCATCTGTTTGATTTCCCCCTTGTTAGTTCAAATTAAAAAGTGAAATATTAAGGATATTTCTTTGTTAAAAACTTGGGATATATTGTAGAATGAGAAGACTCGCGAGGCTTCTGGACAAAATGAATAAGAGTCTGAGATCAACGACCTGGTTTATACAGACTGTAAATCTGGACCTGCGAGGACACTTTTTTTTGGTGGTCTCGAAATTTAAAAATTTGACATTTTGCTCAGTTGGGGGGGGGGGGTAAGGTCAGCTTTTTTAGGCCAGCCATGGGCATAATTTTTTTTATTATTATTATTAAAAAAAAACCAAGGGGGGGGGGCGTTAGGGGGGTTTACACACAAAAAATACCAAAGGAGGGGGGGGGTAATCCCCCAAACCCCCCCCCCGCCTGTGTACGCGCCTGATCCCCCGTAGGCCACTCTTTATTCATACGTAACAGCACACAAGTAGATTATATCGTGCAACCATAGAAAACGGCAGCTGCTTGGAATAATTTGTTGCCAGTTGGGTATCCAGCTTTTAAAACTCCTCGACTCAACTTAATTTCTAAAACAGAAAATTTCTATTAGGCCCGTTGGAAGCCAGTCTCGTTGGTGTTGGGTTTTACTTGGCATTGTGCCAAGCGGGGAATCCCAAATGTTTTCTAAGAGCTTCGCGGTGAGTTGTGACAAATTGCAGAGACCTTTGTATCATATGGGCTGATTACACCACTAAAGGTATACTTTATTGTTTGTGCCTGAATAGAACCCTGCACTTACAACGTATTTATTGAAACGATAAAAAAAAAATTGAATCGGAAATTACTTGACCTTTATATTTCAAATATGACATTTAGATGTTTCTATACTACCTTACGGTTCATTTATAACTTTCTAAGTAAATACCATATTGCAGCTGTCTCTGTCAAATTCTTATATAAAAATACATTTTACGAGAAAGTCTAATTATTGCTATTGAATTATTCCTGTAACTTTTATATTCGGATTTATTCTTGTTTATAGTTGGCTGACGCAGACTACGTTGGTACAACTTATTTTGTTTCTTAATTGAGATTTAAAAATTCTAAAGTTAACGAATAATTTGGAGATTTTCTTTTCTTTAACTTTCGTTTAGTCTTTGAGATACATCTTTGGAAATTGAATATGAATGTATTCCAACAGATTTCCTCAAGCGGAATTAATATCATTACAATATAGATTACATATAAACTAATGTGAATTACAATATATCGTTCCATGATCCCATTATCAGGTTATTATTCGATACTTATATATGTTATGTTGTAAATTTACGAAACAATAATGATGTATTTAGTCCTATACAGGACATAGACAGTAATACCAAAGAGTATGTATAGCATTAGTACATATTTATCTGTAAGGTATAGGATTTCCCGGCCAAACTCGCTAGTTTGTCATTCGAATTCATTTACTTTGGTTTAAGTTAGCGCAAATCAGATTTGCCATGCCAATTATCATTCAATTTTCCAGATTTTGTATTTAATTTAGGATTTTGGTCGAAGGATTTCATAGATCTGTCATTCAATTTAGAAACTGCTCAACTAGCATTCAATTTAATCGTCACTTGGCGAGGCGTCATTTTTATCATTCAAATTAACCCCTGTCATTCGTATTCGAATTATGTTTATTCAAGTAAGGAATGTTAGGGGGAAGAAATGCAAAACACATTTACAGTTTTAAAAAAATGCAATTAAATACATGATTTACCATTGGGGTCTTTTCTGTTATTCAATTTATTAATTTTGAGGACAAAGTATATGTGTGTAGACAGACATTAGGTAAAGGAGGGGCGAAATCAAGGGATATGGCATTTCTGAACGGACATGTTCATATACCCCGGACAAGTGGGGATACAAAAACACCTACCCCAGTCACAATATTGTACCATTCCTCCATAATTAAATTGTGATAAATTTATGATAAACCACAAGACAAACAAATTCCTTACATAAAAATTAACACAAATATTAAGACCATCAAGTCCGTGGATGTAAGTCTTATTTTATTAACAATCAAACTTAAAGGCTGATGAATATCTGATAAATCTAAAAGTATATAAAGATTATATATGCAAGAAAATAATATAGGATGAAATACACATGAAAAAAACGATCTTGAAAGAAAAAAAATGAGCTATAAAAAGTGTGTAATAAACGAGAAATGTATATTGACCATTAATTTTAGTGCACAAAGTGCTATTTTGAATGCTAGAAGTACACCGTCGCGATGTCATAAAATCGTGTTGCGCTAAATCGAATGACCAAATAGCGAAAGAAGCACTTCGTTCATTAATTTAAATGAAACATACATAGATTCTAACGAAAACTTCATGGATTTGAAGTCTAGAAAAGGGAATATAAACGCAAGATATACCCGACAGCACTAAAACCGTCAAATTAATTTTAATGACAAACTCGCGAATTTGGCCGGGAAATCCTATACTAAGAGACACCGTCGATGGGGCCTCACAGTAACGAGGCCATTGCCTAGCCACCGAATCATGACTGTACGCAGCGGGGGCAAGGGTACGGGGCCGCCCCCACAAATACAAACAAAATGGAATAAATTCTCAATAATTCATTGCATTTTGCCCCGATTCCCAACATAAAAGAAAATCCTCTCTGTGGGCATGCCATGAATCATAATGCATAGCCCTACAGAGGGGCAAAATGCAATGAATTATTGATAATTTATTGCACTTTCTTAGTCTTTGTGTATTTGTGGGGCGGCCCCGTACCCAAGCCCCCGCTGAATAAAAAACCGTGTCGATCAGCTATATTAGTGCCCTTTTGTGAGGCATTAATGATCCTCATTACTGTCAGTTATGATTGAATGATGAAGGTCCCCTAGTTGATTAGCATAGTAGTACACACATGCTTTAGCAGTCGCGCAAAACAAACACTCGCAAATTATTGTTCAATAAAATCTGAGAATGTATCCTATTATTTAGATCTATTAGGAATAAAACATTGTCAAAATCATTCCATAAATTGGGGTCAAAATAATAATTCCATCTTTATGACCAACAGTGTATAAAGCGCTTTATAACTGCAGAATATGTTTTGTTATTATTTGCAGGCACCTTGCATATCATCGCAAATGAGTAAAGATATTTAATGGAGCCAACTCGTTCCAATTTCTTGATATTGCATTGCTACAAATCACGCACATAGTAGCAATGGTCCGACTACTCAATAAAAAAACATCAATAAAGCATGCATTATTCATTTACTCACATTAATAGATCTGGTCACAATGTAAATAGTTAGTCCAGCACATGAAATACCGATCGGTGAGGCGAGCCTGGACGATACAACCACTTCTGAGCAATCCGTTCGTTAGAATGTTTTTTTTTTTCAGCGGGCAATTTGAAAACAAACATAAAGAAACGCGCCAAACGTAGTCAACGCTAAAGTGCATTATACAGCGTGTATCAAAAAAACAGTTCGCATTTATAAAATATTCTCCAAAATTGTTAATCTTAATAATATCTGCAGGACTTTCTCTAATGAAATTAGTATTAACAATACTGGTAATAAAAGAGAATTATTACTATTATCAATATCTTTAATAATCAACCAATGGATTTTACTTATTTTTGGACCCCGAGGAAGAACGAATGAACTTTGTCCGTTGATCTGAAGCGGTTGATCCATTAATCTCAATTTTAATTTTAATATTTTATTGTTCTAAAATTGTCCTTGCAAAAAGTGCTTTGTTTCTTTATGTACATTAACTAAACCCCTATCTTGGGAGTATACCGCTCTTTTTAATATCCTTTATCATATTTTTGACACGCAACTTAGGATGTGCAACAAGGTTAAAGTTATGATTGTTCAAACCAGTTATTGATAAATTAACAGAACACATGCAATAAATGCCCGATTTGCACTTTGATCCAATCCAAGGCTGAAACCTTTTCTCGCGAGCTTTTCAAAGGTAGCCAGTGTTGACTCAACCATACTCTTCTCTTTCAAATATTTTTCAATACTTAAATTTTAATCTAAGTAAAGCATCCTTTACCCATAATTTTATAGGGATAAGATTCATGCAGATATCATTAAACTATGATCGTAAGGGATATATTCAAAGTGTGTATTTAAAAAAAAAAATTTTTTACTACGCACTGTATACAAGGAAATACCAAAGATGGGAATTCCCACATCAAAACACAAATTTCTTTAGTGTGATACTTTTTCGTAATTTTGTAGTTGACAAGCATGATGACGCACCATTCAACTAAAGTAGCATATTCAACTTTAATAGTGGGGTGTTTTTAATGATATTTCCTTTGGCAGGCATTTAAATGATATTTTCTCTGGCAGGGTTTGAAATATATGGTAAATTTTTGATAATATGACACCAATACATAACCTTAGCGGTTAAATGGTAATGAGCAGAAAACCTGTAAATTACCAGACACATTTCTGTTGCGTAGAAATCATAGAAACTATACTGTACAGATTGAATTATAATAAGTATGTGATTGATCCAGACAGTGGCGTAGCGTGGGTTCAGACATACAAAAAAAGGGGGTGGGGCATATTCCCAGTCCGGGAGATGATATACGGTTATACTCCTTGCCCCTAGAGAGAATGAACGAACATGTATTTGCTTTTAAAAAGGAAAAAGAGCAAACATACATTCTTTCTCTTTTCCAGTATGTCTTCTATCTCTTTCTCTGCTGTATGCTACATCAAGGATGCAGATCAGACCAAACCAACAATAACATAAAACAAGTCCTCTTTAAATAAACTGGATTTAAACTTTTTGTCGATCACGTATACTCAGTCTGTAGCTTGAAACTCTATTAGCATGAATACTTCCCCAGGAGATTGCAGCATATTGCAAGGAAATTATCAAATATACATTTAATGGCTTTCCTCAAGCAGAAGTTGAGCATGTATATAGAGCTCGACACATTTTCGTATAGATTGATTTAGAATATGTCATACGCTGTGAGATAAAAATCTATAAATTCAGTGGCTGTGATATCAATCCTGAAACCTGTGCTATTAAAGCGATATCCAACGCTATTTCCCCAAATATATATCTTCAGCCAAACCAAAAATGCAATATCTGCAAAACTGCTGGCCTAATAACCCACATAGGCCTCTCGCATTTGCAAGCCTTAAAACTTGACTATCAAATAGCAAAAAAAGACTCATTATCGCCGTCATCACCACTATCATTATTGCTTTAAAACATCCACAATTCCTCAACTTAGTTTGTAAAAAAAAAGAACTTACGCAATCAAGGGCTCCAAACTTGTCACAAAATCATCTTTTACGACGTAAGTGAAGATATTCATACCCATATAAATTTAAATATCAGTTCTCGTTATATCGAACATAATTTAGTTCGCTCATGATTTATAGGAAATTTTAATAGACTTAACAATATCCTTTTTCTTCTTCTTGTTCTTTGTAACAGTGAAATAGTTCACAACCTTTTAGAAATTTTCTTTGTCATATATTATATATTTGAAAGTTGTTGTAACGATTCAAGCTCTTTTGCTTATGATTCATCACCGTTGTGTTTTCATTTGTTTTAACTGTAATAGTTGCAACTTGTCTTTGATACACCATTGTTATATTTGTTTTCATGTGAAGTCAATTCAAATGGATTGTTAAACATAAACTGATTTCTTATATTTATTCTTTTTCATGTCATTTGTATCTCCAATGAATTATAAAATTGTGAACATGCATACAAATATAAACAAATTATAAATATAGTGAACAAATTATAAATGCATGATTTTCTCTAATGAAATTAGGGGTGAGGATTTTTTTCAATTGGATGGCAGTACCAGTATTGACAATATTTTACGCTTAAATATGAATTGGACTATTGGCTAATCGAATATATAAAAGAAAAAGCAAAACAAAACCTAATTAAACTTGCGATCCGGGTACACGAAAGAAATTGTCCAGATACATTTTATTCAACCCTTATATTAGGAGGATACCGCACCTCTTCTTTATCAATTTATGAAGACGCTACTGGGGGCATGCATAGCAAGACATCGAGTTAAAATTCAAACGATCAGCTAATGATAGTTAACAATGATTGCAATAACTGCATGATTTGCATTTTAATCTAATCCATGACTGAAACACTTCAGCGCGAACAATTTTTTGCGAGCTTTCCGAAATTATTCAGTGAGCAATCAATCATGATTTCCTCTTTTGAAAAATTGACAATACTTTAAATGCCTTCCAGATGGATAGCACACAACCCCAATTTCAAAGGAAAATCAGGCATATATCGTGAAATAATAATTTTAGAGGACATTTTCATTGTCTGCACTTTTTGTCTACGCACTGTATACAATACAATACCAAAGACGGGAATTCCCACATCCAAAAACTTTTGTTGGGATACTTGTTCGTGAAACCGTAAAACCTGTGCTATTAACACAATACCTAACGATGTTTTCCAAGCCATATACCTTAAGGCAAACCAAACATGCAATATCGGCAGAACTGCTTGCCCAATTACTCACATAGTTCCTTAGTATTTGCAAGCCCTAAAACCTGACTATCAAATTTATTCGATAATAATCTTATCGATGTTGATTCATCAATCAAGAAGCATTATTACTATTATTATCATAATCATCATCATCGTCATCACACTATCATTATTGATTCAACTGTTATTCACTTTGAGAGCGCGAAACTACCATAAGTTCTCAACTTAGTTTGTAAAACAAGAATATAACTTACAAAACCAAGGACTCCAAATTTGTCCCGAAATCGTCTTTTAGGAGTTGAGTGAGAATATTCATTTCCGTTCAACTATCGTCAAGAAGATTGGGTAGAGGATCAATGATACCTAAATGCTAGTAAGCAGTTTTGGGGATGTAATTCTTTTTAAATATCAGAGTATCATATATGATAGAATTGGTCTTTTTACCTTTTATGCCTTTTCAACTGATCTTGTTTAATATCGATTGGTAAAGAAGATTTATAGCCTAGTGAATTTTTTCCCACACTTATCGATATTGATATTATACCTTTATATTAAAAAATAACGAGATTATACCCATCGTTAAGAGATATATACGAATATTAAACGCTACTTGGAGTTAGTTTTTGTTTACAGGTTTGATACTCAATATCAAATTAAATACTAATGGTGATAAAAGGAGATAACAACATAACATGTGTTGTAAGAGGTTCATTCACATTATAGTATAATCCTCGAAGAGTTTTTTTTTAGTGCAATCTATCTCCATTATTGTCTCACGTTTTTGTTTTTACTTTTATTTTGTTAGGGGGGGGGTGGACACAGGTTCCCCGTTGTGATTGGGTCTTGTAAAATCACCTCTTATAATATATAATGTTATATACTATATAGACTGTATATACGACATAATCAACCTGTTCAGATCTCTTCCACACAGCTATCTACATGCAATCGCATGAGCAGAACTCAACATAATTTCTAAAATTCACATTTCTATCGGAAGTCTATTGAAGTGCAGTCTCGTCGGTGTTGGGTTTAACTTGGCATAGTGCCAAGCGGGGAATCCCAATTGTATTGCCAAAGAGCTTCGCGACGAGTTGTGAAAAATTGAGAAACCTTTGTATTATTTTGGCTGTTTACACCTCCAAAGGTCGGACCGTGGCGCGCTAGGTGGTACTAGGTCGTGCTACGATTCAGTGTGCACCACGGAGGGGCATTGTAGTGGTCTGTCTTCATCCCCAATATGGTTTTTAGATTTGCACGTCAACATAGTGGACTGCTACGTGTGACGTCCTTTCAGGGCACTGGCAGTGCCTTCAAAGGACGTCGCATTTCCTTGAAAGGACGTCACACGTAGCAATCCACTTTGTCGACTTGCACATCTAAAAGTCCTTGATGAGATATGATAGCACGGCGAAGCCTGGTACTCGGTGGAGGAGGTTTTGTTGCCACGACGCATGAATTCATCAGAGTTTAGATATTTCCGGCGATATAGAAAAAAACAATTTAAAGGAGAAAAGTCCAAACCTGTACTTCAGGCTATGAAGATATGAAAAACAAATCAGACAAATGTTCATATTAAAGCTTATCAATACTAGTTTACAGGAGGGATTAGAGTCATTAGACCGCCCTGCAAGGTCACTGGACAGGTGGTTATCTCATCAACTCAGCTCTCAGTTTACCTAAGAAAAAGAGGATCATGGGGGGCATTGTTTAATATAGAGAGGGCGCAAGTAGCTACAAGTAGTGCAGCGGGCCTTTAAAAATCGATGCCCTTGATCGTCCCCGACACGTGTTGGGTACGGCTGCATACACACTTTCTTTGTTTCCAATAAATGGGATGCATGATGCAACACCCTTTGTAAAAATCTTCCAAAAAG